CCTCGTCCTCGTCCTCCTCCTCCGCCTCCCCCTCCCCCTCCTCCTCCTCCTCCTCCTCCGAGACGCGCAGTGGGCCCGCACAGAAATCCTTCCCGCGAAAGGTCACTCCCACGTCTGGTCGACCCTCGCCCCTCAGAGGGAACGAGCACACCGTTGCCACGCCTCGAACCCGCCCATCTTGGGGGGGGCCCCGAACCCCTGGTGCAGATGGGCTCCCGGCCCCTGTCCAAGGGGGAGGAGAAGGGGGGGTAGGAAGCGGACACGAAGCCCTTGCACCCCCTCCAGAAAAAGAAACATACATGATCGACCCACGAACCCGGAAAGGAATATAGACAAGTAAAGCATGGCAACGCTTCAAAGACACCTGATTGGGCGACGGGCAAATGCAATGCTGAGTGTATCGATCTTGCTGTACCGTGCCGAGGGCTGTGCTGTGCTGCGCTGTGCTGAACTCCGATGTGCCATGCCTCGATTGTGCTCTATAGCGTTGTGGATCGAGTCCTCCTTTGCATCCGAGTCCTGACCGAACTGATCTGGATTCTAAGCTCGAGATGCCTCAGCACATAGTAGCTGCCCCAGGAGCTAATTGACAGGGGAACATGCCAAGAAGACGCGCCGCGGAACGTCCCAAGGGACGCGCCAGGCGACGTGCCAAGGGACGTGCCACAAAGACGCACCGCGGGACGTGCCGAGGGGACGCGCAACGGAACGTGCCAATGGACGTACCACGGGACGTGCCAGGGGACGCGCCGCGCGACGTGCCAGGGGGACTCGCCACGGGACGCGCCACGGAACGCGCCAGGTTGCAATGCTGAGTGTATCGATCTTGATGTACCGTGCCGAGGGCTGTGCTGTGCTGCGCTGTGCTGAACTGCGATGTGCCATGCCGCGATTGTGCTCTAGTTGTGGATCGAGTCCTCCTTTGCATCCGAGTCCTGACCGAACTGATCTGGATGTCAAGCTCGAGCTGCCTCCTCAGCACAGCACATAGTAGCTGCCCCAGGAGCTAATTGGCAGGGGAACATGCCAGGAGGACGCGCCGCGGAACGTCCCAAGGGACGCGCCAGGCGACGTGCCAGGGGACGTGCCGTGGGGACGCACCGCGGGACGTGCCGAGGGGACGCGCTACGGAACGTGCCAATGGATGTGCCTCTGGACGCGCTCCCAGGGCCACGATCCCTCGTCAATTACGCTGCGTCCGCGCTCCCAGGGCCACGATTCCTCATCCCTCATACATTACATTGGGGTGGCGCTCCCAGGGCCCCGACCCCTTGTAAATTACGCTGCGTCCGCGCTCCCAGGGCCACGATCCCTCGTAAATCACGCTGCGTCCGAGCCCCAAGGACCCCGATCCCTTGTATTTTAGGCTGCGCCCGCGCTCCAAGGGCTACGATCCCTTGTAAATTACATTGCGTTCGAGCTCCCAAGGCCCCGACCCCTTGAAAATTACGCTGCGCCCCCGCTCCAAGGGCCACGATCCCTCGCAAAATACGCGTGGTCCGCGCTCCAAACGCCACGATCCCTCATAGATTACGCCGCGTCCGCGCTCCCAGGGCCTCCTGGGGCTTGCTGGGGCGCCCAGGTCCCTCAAGTTTTGCAAAATAAGCGTTTCGCTCGAGACATCCTCTATTCTTTGGCGCGGGGGGCGCGCCATCCTCGAGCGGGCACGCAAAAAGTTAACATTTTCACATTTTTGGTGTCCAGGTTCGAGCTCCAGACCTCGGTTTGTCTCGAGGATTCTGCTGAAAATGGGCCGCACCCTTTTTTTACGACGGAAAACGGGTGTCCGTGGACCCCGTTATTTATCGAGGATCCGAAGTGGGGGGTCGACTTTCCTCGAGCGGGCACGCGCGAAACGCTTCTTTTCCACGCCGAATCAAGCTTTACCTTGTTTTTTATCGGGGATCTTCCGACCCGGGTCAATCCAGACCCGGGTCAGCAGGAAACCAAAAACTGCAATGCAGGAAAAAAAATGATCCTGGCGAAGGACCCAACCATATGCAATTGTGAATACTGCAATTGTGAAAATCTTCTCGGTAGAGCCCCCTACGGGGCCACGAAACGTACGAGGGGTGTGCCGAAATGGGTGTGCGGGACGCATGCGGGCACACCCACTGGGGCCTTCGGTGGAGCTCCCTATGGGGCCACGAAACGTGTGAGAGGTGTGCCGAAAATGGCGTAGCGAGGGACGCATGGGGCACACCACATGGAGACCTTCGGGCGGAGGCTCCCTATGAGGCCACGGACGAATCGCGTGAGGCGTTGTGCCGAAATGGATGTAATGGGTCGTGGCTGACGCATGCCGGGCGCGTGCCACTGGGGACCTTCTGTGAGCGTTTTATTGGGGCCACGAAACGTGTGAGGGGTGTTCCGAAATGGGTGTGCGGGACGCATGCGGACGGCAGCACTGGGGCCTTCGGTGGAGCTCCCTGTGGGGCCACGAAACGTGTGAGGGGTGTGCCGAAATGGGTGTGCGGGACGCATGCGGACGGCAGCCACGGGGCCTTCGGTGGAGCTCCCTATGGGGCCACGAAACGTGTGAGGGGTGTGCCGCCGAAATCGGAAATGGGTGTGGGTGGACGCATGATTGACGCATTGCGGGCGCGGGCACGGAGGCTTCGGTGGAAGCTCCCTATGGGCCGCGAAACGTGTGAGGGGTGTGCCGAAATGGGTGTGCGGGACGCATGCGGACGGCAGCACTGGGGCCTTCGGTGGAGCTCCCTGTGGGGCCACGAAACGTGTGAGGGTGTGCCGAAATGGGTGTGCGGGACGCATGCGGACGGCAGCCATGGGGCCTTCGGTGGAGCTCCCTGTGGGGCCACGAAACGTGTGAGGGGTGTGCCGAAATGGGTGTGCGGGACGCATGCGGACGGCAGCCATGGGGCCTTCGGCGGAGCTCCCTTTGGGGCCACGAAACGTGTGAGGGGTGTGCCCCCGAATCGAGAACGAAACGAAATGGGTGTGGGTGACGCATGCGGCCGCGGCCACTGGGGCCTTCGGTGGAGCTCCCTATGGAGCCACGAAACGTGTGAGGGGTGTGACGAAATGGGTGTGGGTGACGCATGCGGCCGCGGGCACTGGGGCCTTCGGTGGAGCTCCCTATGGAGCCACGAAACGTGTGAGGGGTGTGCCGAAATGGGTGTGGGGGACGCATGCGGCCGCGGGCACTGGGGCCTTCGGGGGAGCTCCCTATGGAGCCACGAAGCGTGTGAGGGGTGTGCCGAAATGGGTGTGGGGGACGCATGCGGCCGCGGGCACTGGGGCCTTCGGTGGAGCTCCCTATGGAGCCACGAAACGTGTGAGGGGTGTGCCGAAATGGGTGTGGGGGACGCATGCGGCCGCGGGCACTGGGGCCTTCGGTGGAGCTCCTATGGAGCCACGAAACGTGTGAGGGGTGTGCCGAAATGGGTGTGGGGGACGCATGCGGCCGCGGGCACTGGGGCCTTCGGTGGAGCTCCCTATGGAGCCACGAAGCGTGTGAGGGGTGTGCCGAAAAGGGTGTGGGGGACGCATGCGGCCGCGGGCACTGGGGCCTTCGGTGGAGCTCCCTATGGAGCCACGAAACGTGTGAGGGGTGTGCCGAAATGGGTGTGGCTGACGCATGCGGGCGCGGGCACGAGGGAGGAGGGGGAAGAGGAGGAGAGGAGAGGAGAGGAGAGGAGAGGAACGCGGGGCGCCGTCTCTTCAAAACGAGGACCCAACACCACAGGATGGTTGGGAAAAACTGCAACGCAGGTCTTCGCAAACCCAGATCAGCCAATAGGCGCGGCCGCCTCGCGGCCACGAGCGGCTCGCTAACCCGGGTCAGCCAGAGGGGGTCTTCGCAGGAGCCTGCAGGATCCGGTGCCCTGGCTGACCCCCGTTTGCATTGACCCCCGTCTCAAGGCTCCCGATTATCGAACGGAACTCGGCCGGCCTCCTTCAGGTCAAAACCGGGGGTAAACCAGCCAAAAGCGAACCCTGGCCAGTCAGCCCTTTCCGGGAACAAAGCAGCTGGCGGCTGCCCGGCCGTGGCCCTTCCAGCCTGCGCCCCCTGCCCCCCGACCACCCTGAGATCCGACGCAGCGAAAAAAATTGCCACATCGTAATCAATCACGCCCGGAGTCCTAGACTTAGGTCGGGCATGTCCCCCTTACAGGCGGACGAAAAATCAACGAGATACCCAAGAATCGTCAAAAAATCGTCCCCGGACCATGTTCTTTGTAGTTTTGAAGATGCCTCCTGTAGAGGGACACGTCCGACTTTCAACCCTAGACCCCATCTTTCTGCATCATACCCGGATCGATCTGTGAGGGTCCCATGGGGCCCGAAATTGCGCGAAGACGCGCGGCTCGAAAAAATTGACTCACCAGGATCTCACCGGAGGCGACGACAAGGGCGAGTATCCCAGGGGCGGGCCTTACACGCATTCGCCCAGGAGCTTCCTCGAAGACATCGATCATCGGCGCACCTGGGTTCGTGTATTGCTCTCCCCTGAACTCTTCGCCCCTTATCGTCGCCTCGGATCTCAGGGGCCCCATGAGCGCTTTCCCGGCGAGAGCTGGCCCTCCGGACCGCGCAACTCGGCGCCGCCTCCCCGACGAGCCAGGCCAGCGCCGCGCCGCGCCGCGGCGCCGCGGGGCGGGGCGTCCAGGGTTAGGCCAGGCATGTCCTCCTACAGGCGGATTTTGGACGAGAAAAAAACAAAAACAACAAACAAAAACAAAAAAACATTATCAAAAAGAGTCGGCAAATCCTCCCCGGACGATTTTTGACTATTTTTGAACCGTCCTCCTGTGTGAATATCGTTTGACCGACCCCCATCCCCAGCGGCGTGGCCTGGGCCCCACACGCCGCTTTACCCCCCTAGATGGGGGTATGGGCCGTTCCCTTCGGGCTTCGAAGGGTGTATCCCCAACTGCGGTCGCTCGGACGTCCATTCCCTGTGTTTTTTTGGTTTCGTGCGTGGTTTTCTTCGCCAAATGATCAAGGCTGCTCCTCGAGGGTCCTCGCCGAGGGAAAAAAGTGCACACGTCCGAGCGATGCGAGACTTAGCGAACTAGGGATGGCTGGGGGGGGGGGACTGGGGAAACGATACCGCCTGCAGAGGGGCACGCCCGACGCAGGTCCAGGGGCCGCCGCCGGCCCGCCCGCGCCGCGAGGCCGCCGCCCGGCGGGCGGCGCACCGCGGTCAGGCCCACGGCGCGTTCCGCGGCCGCCGCGGGGGCGGCGGCCCCGTTGAGGCCGCCGGGGCCGCGGTGGCGGTGCCGACGTGCAGGCCCACCTGGGCACAGACGGCCCCGAACTGCGGGTAGCAGGTGGCTGGCCGGCGGTCCAGAGGTGGGGGCCCTGGGGGATGGGGTCCTGAGAGAGCGCGCGTTTCACGGGCGCTCGTTCCTTGCGAACGTTCGGCGGCGCGTGTCGGACCGGGGGGCGGGCCCCCCCAGGCCCCCCCCCCCCCCCCACACCCGGCGCAGGCGCCGGGATCAAAACCAGGGGGACTCCCCTCCCCCCAACCCCCCCCTCCCGAACCCCCCACCCCTCCCAAGGGGGCGGGGGGGTCAAACCCCCCCCCTCGGCGCCGGCGCCGGCCGGCGCTGGCGGCCGCCAGCAGCGCCGACGGCGGGGACGCAGCGACGATGACCAGAGGCAGCCCAAGGGGGGTAAGGGGGGTTCAAACCCCTTGGCCCCGGCGCCCAGGAGGGGGGGGACGGGTTTCAGCCCCCCCCCGTTGGCGCCGGCGCCGGCGGCGGCCAGCAGCGCTGGCGCTGGCGCCAGCAACGGCAGGGACGCAGCGATGATTGCCACCACTGCTACCACCACCACCACCACCACTGCCACCACCACCACCACCGCTTCAACCCACCACCACCACCACCAACCCACCACACAACCACCACCACCCCCACCACAGCCACCACCACCACCACAACCACCACCACAACTCACCGTCACCACCACCACTACCACAAAAACCCACCACCACTACCACCACCACCACCACCACAAGCTACCACACCACCACAACCACCGCCACAACCACCACTAATACCAGCAGCACAACCCACCACCACCACCACAGACCACCACACCACCACTGCCACCACCACCACCACCACCACTTCCACAACCACCGCCACCACCACAACCCACCACCACCACCGCACTACCACCAAACCACCACCACCACCACCACAACTCACCACCAGCACCACCACCACCACCACAAACCACCACCACACCACCACCAAACCACCACCACCACTGCCACCAAACCGCCACCACCACCACAAAAACCCACCACCACTACCACCACCACCACAATCTACCACACCATCACCACCACCGCCACAACCACCACCACTACCAGCAGCACAACCCACCACCACCACCACCACCACCACAAACCACCACACCACCACCACCACAACCACCGCCACCACCACCACGACCACCAGCACCACCTCCACAAACCACCGCCACCACCACAACCCACCACCACAATCACAACCACCACAACGAACCACCACACCACCACCACCACCACTACCACCACAACCACCACCAACGCAACCGCCACCACCACCACAACCCACCACCACCACCACCACCACCACCGTCGTCATCGTCGACGCTCCCCGCCGCCGCCGCCCGCCGCCGCAGGCGCCGGCGCCGGCCCAGAAAAGGAAATCGTCGTCGTCCCCGCCGCCGACGCCTGCCGCCGCGGGAGGAAGGGAGGGGGGGGGTTCGAAACCCCCCCCCACACTCCGTGACGGGAAAGGAGGGGGGGGGTTGGAGCCCCCGTGGGGTCCGGTTTCAACCCCCCCCCCCTCCAAGCGAACACAGAACGCGCTCTTTCGGTCCTAAGGACCCAGAGATCCAACGTATTGGAAAAGTCAAGACGGAGGTTTCGGCCTATGGGGCCCTTGCCGGGCCTCGGGACCGTCAAAAAACGACTCAGGACGAAAAACTGGTCCCGGGAAATGGGTCGAGACCTCTGGGGGCCGACGTTATGAAAAGATCACAACGTTGGGGGTCTGGAGGACGAGGTGCCTCAGACAACGTAAATAAAATAAAAAACAAAACGGCACAAGCATAGGCTTCTGGCGCTCCGCGCGGACTTCTCGGATCTGCGCTGTGCCCCCCCTCCCTGGCGCGCGGAGCGCGCCAGGGGCGGCGCCAGAGGCGCCGCCGGGGGGCCCAGCGCGGATCAAAGAAATCCGCGCGGAGCGCCCAAAGTGTATTTTTATGGCGTGTTATCTTCTTCGAGTAAGTCCACCCTTGGATTCCTTCATATCCTGAGGCCCCCATCCATCAGGACCTCATTTTTGAACCACCGAGCGGCGAGCGAGGGGGGGATAAGAACGAGGAGGCCTTCTCAGAAGGCGGCGGGGATCTCAGAAGGCCTCTGGCCTCATGAGAGGTTCTTGGTGTCTTCGGGGAGGGCTCAGAAGACTTCTCCAAAGGGTGGGGGACTTCCGAGCCTTCCGAGAAGGCCCGCCCCTTCTCACTCCCCCCCCTGGGCTCGCCGCCGAGCTAGGGTGGCCAGGGCCAGCGGCGCACTCCTGGTGAGCGCGACGCACAGGGCGACCTTGGCGGCCGCCTCCCGGGTCCTCCAGCCGGCCCCCAGGCCGACCGCCCAAACGCTGTGGTCTGGGCAGGTGGCGATGCAGATGCACGTCTCCTCGCAGCCGGCGGCCTTCGCGGCCCGCGCGATCTCGGGGAAGAGGGTCCAGTCGGGGTCGTGGGTCAGCTTCACGTGGCCGGCCACGTTGCCGACGAGCTCCGTCAGCATGGCGTGCGACGCGTTGAACAGGGCACCGAACTCCTTCGAGTGCATGACCGCCGGAGCCTCGGGCGGGTACCCCTCGGCCGTGACCGTGGAGGGCTCCGCGAGCGTCACCCACCTGGTGACGGGGGCGGCGCCGAAGGTGGGGGTCGCGACGGGCTCGGGGGCCCGCTTGGACGCAGGGATCGCGCTCGGGGAGCACTCGCCCCGGCACAGCTTGCCAAACTCTGGGAACCGCTGGCAGATCCTCTCGTAGTTGGGGTGCTCCTGCGCGAGCACGACGCAGAGAGCCAGCTTGGCCGAGGCCTCGCGGGTCTTCCATCCGCCGCCCAGGCCTACTGCCCACCTGCCCCTCGGCGCGCAAATGCCGACGCAGAAACCATTCTCTTCGCCCCCAGCGGTTACAACCGCCCTCCCAACCTCTGGATAGTTCTGCCAGTCCTGGTCGTGGTTCAGGACTACGTCCGCCAGGAGGTTGTCCACGAGCTGGGGGAGAATGGCGTTCGCTATGTTGAACGTCTCGTTCATGTTTTTATCATAAGTGATCGCTGGAGCGTCGTGCGGAAAACCGTTCGACGTCAGCTGTGACTCCTCCGTGAGGACGATCCCGAGGACGAACGGCACCAGCTTCTCTGGCACGGTGCCCGGCGGCTGCCCGGCGGCGGGCGCCTCGCCTTGCTGGGCCGCGCACACGTCGACCCGGTGGCCCTCGACGAACCCGCCCGAGCCGTGGCCGTCGAGCCCTGCCACGCCCTGGCCGCGGGGACCTGCCAGCATGCTGGCGCCATCGATGGCACGGTGCCCTGCCATAATGCCAGCGCCGTTGATGGCGTGGTGCCCCGCCGTGATGCCGACACCATTCATGGCCAGTTGCATCATGCCGGCGCCGCTGATGGGCGGGTGCCCTGCTGTCATGCCGGCGCCATTGATGGCCGGTTGCCCCACCATCATGCCCGTGCCGCTGATGTCATGTTGCCCTGCTATCATGCCGGCACCATTGATGGCCGGTGGCCCCGCCATCATGCCAGCGCCATTGATGGCGGGCTGCCCCACCATCATGCCAGCGCCATTGATGGCGAGTTGCCCCACCATCATGCCAGCGCTATTGATGGCCGGGTGCCCCGCCATCATCCCAGCGCAGGGGCCCCCGAACCCCGCCATGCCCTGGTCTAGGAAGCCGCTCATCGTTCCGCGGGCGAGGTCGGGGTGGAGCTGGCGAGTGCCAGTCCCACCCGCGCTGTCCCCTCGAGCCAACATGGTTTCGGCGGGAATTCGGCTGCGAGCCCAAGGGGGAAGTGAGAAAGGGCGGGCCTTCTCAGAAGGCGCGGAAATTCCCTGGCCTTCTGAGAAGTTCCCTGACCCTTCCGCGACAGAGAACTTCTCAGAAGACCCGAGGGCTTCTAAGAAGCCCCGCCGCCTTCTGAGAAGCCCCGCCGACTTCTCACTTGCCCCCCTCGCTCGCCGCCCAGAAGTGCGAGGAGGAAGCAAGCACGATAGCAGGAGAAGGCGGACCGGCCCATGGCTGGCCGTGGGGGCGGGGCCAGCAGGGCCGCTGGGGCAAACGAGCCCTCTGAGGAGGCTGAGGCTTCTCGGAGGGGAACGGCCTCCTTCAACCTCACCCTCCCCCCTCCGCCTCCTCCTCCAACAGCTCCTCCTGCTCCTCCTCCTCCTCCTCCTCCTCCTCCTCCTCCTCCTCCTCCTCCTCCGGATCTCCTCCTCCCTCCCTCTTTCCTGCTCCTCCTCTCCCTCCTCCTCATCCTCCCTCTTCCTCATTCCCCCTTCCCCCTCCTTCCCCCTCCTCCTCCTCCTCCTCCTCCTCCTCCTCCTCCTCCTCCTCCTCCTCCTCCTCCTCCCTCTTCTCCTCCTCCTCCTCCTCCTCCTCCTCCTCCTCCTCCTCCTCCTCCTCCTCCTCCTCCTCCTCCTCCTCCTCCTCCTCTTCTTATTAGTATTAGTCTTATTATTATTCTTCTATTCTTGTTAGTATTCTTCTTAGTAGTGTTACTCTTAGTATTCTTCTTCTTAGAATTATTATTATTATTATTAGTATTAGTAGTAGTAGTAGTAGTAGTAGTAGTAGTAGTAGTAGTATGATGTTCATTATTATTTTTAGTATTATTATTATTATGATTAGTATTATCAGTATTATTATCTGTATTATTATGATTATTATGATTATGAATAGTATTAGTATTATCATTATTATTATTGATAGTATTAGTATTATTATTATTATTGTTCGTCGTCTTCTTCGTATTCTTCTTATTATTATTAGTATTAGTATTATTCCTAGTAGTATTCTTCTTATTATTAGTATTATTCGTCTTACTGTTCTTATTCTTAGTCGTATTAGTATTCTTCTTATTCTTAGTATTATTATTATTATTGTTATTATTGTTGTCCTTAGTGTTATTATTATTATTAGTCTTCTTAGTAGTCGTATTATTCTTTTTAGTATTGTCACTATTAGTCTTATTATTTATCATTATCACTATTCTTATTATTCTTAACATTTTAATTTTAATTGTTATAATAATTATTATTATTATTACTAGTATTATTATTGTTATTATTATTAGTATGATTAGTAGTATTAGTACTATTATCCGTTGTCTTATTAGTCTTAATAATATTCTTATTATTCGCATTCTTAGTCGTATTATTCTTCTTAATAGTCTTATTATTCTTCTTATTAGTAGTATTAGTATTCTTCTTATTATTCTTAGTATTCTTCTTACTAATATGAGTATTATCAGTATCATCAGTATCATTATTATTAATAGTAGTAGTATTATTAGCATGATTATGACTCGTATTGCTCTTCTTATTCTTCTTCGTATTATTATTTGTATTAGTATTAGTATTATTATGATTAATAATATTATTATTACTATTATGAATATTCGTCTTCGTCTTCTTCTTCCTCTTCTTCTTCCTCCTCCTCAACCTCCTCCTCCTCTTCTTCTTCCTGCTTCCTCCTGTTTCCTCCTGCTACCTCCTGCTTCCTCCTGCTTCCTCCTCCTCCTCCTCCTCCTCCTCCTCTGCCGTTTCCTTCCCCTGGCTGCTCCTGGTCCTGCTCCTGTTCCTCCTCCTGCTCATGCTCCTCCTCCTCCTCCTCCTTCTCCTCCTCCTCCTCATCATCATCATAATCCTCCTCCTCCTCCTACTCCTCCTCCTCTTCCTCCTCCTCCTGTTCCTGCTCCTCCTCCTCCTCCGTCTCCCCTCCTCCACCTTCCCTCCCTCCCCAACTGCCCCTCCTCCTTCCTCCTCCTACTCCTCCTCATCCTCCTCCTCCTTCCTCCACCTCCTCCAGCTTTCCTGCTCCTGCTCCTGCTCCTGCTCCTGTACCAGTTTTCCAGCTACTGCTCCTGGTTCCTGCTCCTAGCTCTCTGCTCCTGCTCCTGCTCCTGCTCCTCCTGCCTGCTGCTGCTGCTGCTGCTGATCTCCTTGCTGCTCCCTGTTCCTCCTCCTGTTCCTGCTCCTGCTCCTCTCCTCCACCCCCGTCCCTCCTCCTCCTCCCCTCCTCCCCTGCCCTCCTCCTCCTCCTCCTCCTCCTCCTCCTCTTACCCCTCCTCCTCCTCTTCCTCCTCCTCCTCCTCCGTCCTCCTCCTTCCCTGTTCTGCCTCCTCCTGCTCCCTCCTCCTCCTCCTCCTGCCGCCTCCACCTTCCTCCTCCTTTCCTCCTCCTCCCTTTTTTTCTCCTCTTCCTTCCCTTCTCCCCCCCCCCCCCCCCTCTTCTTCCTCCTTCTCCTCCTCCTCCTCCTCCTCTCCTCCTCCACCTCCTCCTCCTCCTCCTCCTCCTCCTCCCTCCTCCTCCCCCTCCTCCTCCTCCGCCTCCTCCCCCTCCACCTCCTACCTCCTCCTCCCCTCCTCACTCCTCCTCCCCCACCTCCTCTCCCTCCTCCTCCTCCTACCTCTCCCTCCACCTCCCCCTCCTCCTCTTTTTATTCTTATTATTATTCGTATTCTTATTCATAAATTTTTTATAAAAAAAAAAAAAAAAAATAATAACCATGAAAAAAAAAAAAAATTTTTATTCTTATTATTATTCGTATTCTTATTCTTATTATTATTCTTATTATTAGTAGTCTTATTATGATTAGTGTTATTCTTCTTATTGTTATTATTATTATTAGTAGTATTATTATTATAAGTATTATTATTAGTATTATTATTATGATTATTAGTATTATTAGTATTATTAGTAGTATTATTATTAGTATTCTTATTACTATTATTATTATTATTATTCTTATTATTCTTATTATGTTTCTTCTTAGTATTATTATTATTAATATTATTATGTTTCTTATTATTCGTATTATTCTTCTTATTCTTATTCGTCTTCTTCTTCTTACTATTATTCGTCTTCTTCTTCATATTATTAGTATTATTATTATTAGCAGTGTTATTATTATTAGTATTGGTATTAGTATTAATATTATTATCTTTATTATTAGTATTATTATTATTCTTAGTATTATTATTCTTCTTATTATTATTATTCTTATTAGTCTTCTTCTTATTTTTATAATTAGTATTATTATTACTAGTATTTTCCTCTTCTTCTTATTATTATTCTTATTCTTCTGATTATTATTATTCTTCTTATTATTCTTACTCTTCTTCTTATTATTATTATTCTTATTCTTATTCGTCTTTTTCTTATTATTCTTCTTCTTATTATTATTATTATTCATACTATTATTTGTCTTCCTCTTCTTCTTATTATTATTCTTATTATTATTATTGTTATTCTTATTATTATTGTTATTATTATTAGTATGATTAGTATTTTTACCATTATTACTATTATTATGTTTATCAGTAGTAGTATTATTAATATTATTATTCTTATTATTCTTATTATTCTTCTTCTTCTTCTTCTTCCTCCTCCTCCTCCTCCTCCTCCTCCTCCTCCTCCTCCTCCTCCGCCTCCGCCTCCGGCTCCTCCTCCTCCTCCTCCTCCTCCTCCTCCTCCCCTTCCTCCTGCGTCCTCCTGCTTCCTCCTGCTTCCTCCTGTTTCCTCCTCCTCCTCCTCCTCCTACACCTCCTCCTCCTCCTCCCCTCCTCCTCCTCCAATCCTCCTCCTCCTTCTACACCTCCTCCCCTTCCTCTTGTTTTTCTTCTTATTATTATTCCTCTTCTTATTATTATTCTTCTTATTATTCCTCTTCTTCTTCTTATTATTATTATTATTATTATTATTATTATTATTCTTCTTCTTCTTCTTATTATTATTATTCTTCTTATTCTTCTTATTATACTTCTTATTATTCTTCTTCTTCTTCTTCTTCTTCTTC